GGACCTGGCTACCTTTACCTGTTAAAAAATAAAGTCGCTACTTTTGCCAAAGTGGAGAAGGAGGAGGATCTTATTCTGTAAGTTTAATTTTCTTCTCCCATCATACTACCTACAGTCATCAGGAAATTATCCTTTCTTAGGCCCCTTTCACATGGCCGGTCCGATTGGGCCACATGTCAGTTTTTCAGGCGGACATGTTCAGATGCCCAATTCAAGTCTATGGGTGGCCGTGTGTCAGTTATCCCCGGCTAGGTCCAGAGAAACAGACGGATCAGAGATCTGTTTCGCCGGACTAGATCGTGCCAGATCAGGGGTAATCTGATGTACACGGTCCAGTCCCCATAGACCAACATGGGATCTGGCAGTTTCTGTTTTTTCCTCCATTGCAAGGTGGATGAAAAAACTGATGAGACACGGATGTCACAGCGCTGACATCCGTTCTGTACAGCTGTGATCCTCTCCTGATCAGCCCGTGTGAAAGGGGTCTTATGTACTCCAATGACTTCAGAATTTCCCAAACGCTTAATAAAGTTTCTCTGTAAAACTTTGCATTATTGGCCATTATTGTATGAAGCGTCTGTCTCCAGACCGGCTTATTGCAGCACGAGCGCAGCTAAATGTTTGTACATGAAATAGAACTGTGGATAATTAGTTCTTGCCGAGTGCTCACTTCTCATTAATTCTTTCCACGCTGCCAGGAATAAATATGTGCAGGTTAATGACGTAGGGAAAGGAACGGTTTGCTCTCACTGACTGATCCTTTGATGTATGAAGGGCAGACTGTGAAATCTGTTTGGTGATTTAAATGTTACTCAGCTGGAAAGAATTATTTGAATGCAGTGGAATTTTTATTATTACAGAGGCTTGATTGCTACAGCGCCAACAGGCTCATCTGATAAAATCACAATAAGCATACCATATAGGGCCCTTATTTGACTTGAAGAACATCTTTAGGGCCATGACACCATGGCTGACCACTCTTGGGTGGAGGTGGAGACAGAGTGATCAGTTGGGTACGTTTGAAAACTTTGTCTAATCCCCTCCCCGGTGTGTGTGTGTACTCGCCCAAATGCTCTGATACTTACCGCCGATACCGCAACTTCTGTTCAAAGGGAGATTTCCTCTGACCGGCAATGCCACGAGGGAACATGGAGCCGGCTTCACGGCCACTCAGGAAGCTGGGCGGCAGGTAATGATTCACCGCCCAACTTCCTAATTGGCCGGGAAGCCGACTCCATGCTGTTTGGCCGGCTCTATGCTGATTGGCTGGGAAGCCGGCCAAACAGCATGGAGTTGGCTTCCCGGTCAATGAATAAGCCGGGCGGCGTGTAATGACCCACTGCCCGGCTTCCTGATTGCCTGGGAAGCCAGCTCCATGCTAGCAGAAGTACCGGTGCTCGGTATCGGTGAGTACCGAAAGATAAATATCGTTACTCAATACCGAAGAAGCGGTATTGGTGCATCCCTGGTATGTATATATATCTATATAAAGATAGGTGTAGATATTAATTTTTTCTATACAGTACCTGTTTGATAGATTTGATTAAAAACAATTGGTGGCAATAATATGATTTCAGATGCTCCCTAACTAAGCAACTAATTTTTGTATTTAATATAAAAACCAAAAGGTGAAAGAGAAAGTGTATAATAATGTGAAATGTGACAGCCACATAAAAATTACTTTAAAGGTAAACACAGCAATATTAAATCACAATATGTGCTTATTGGAAGTACGTTGGACTTTCCTTTTCAGTGGAGCTCTTAATAATGAGATATAATTATGTATTTTTTGGTTCTTTAGATTCTGGAGAAAACTTAGCAAGCTGATGAGTAAAATCAACCCAGAACCGAATATAATCCATATCATGGGGTGCTACGTCTTGGGGAACCCTAATGGTGAAAAGGTATGGCACATTAAACAACTGCTTGCATGCTAAATAGAAGACTATTAAAGTTGCAATAAATAGAATCTGAACCTTGTGAAAAAATAAGCTGGCATGTTCCAAACTCTGCCCTCTGTTCACCTTCTACAGTCCTGCTCACATACAGTGTAGCTTTAAAAAAAGATTGCACAATGTTATGTTAGTATAATTATGTGGCAAGAGGCTACAATGCTGCCAGATACCTGAAGGTCAAAACAAATTAATTAAAAATGAGGTGCTGGATTCAGATTTTTAAAGGATGAATTGGATTATGACTGGGTACACTATCTTATTTTCAGCAGCACTCCACAAAACAAGGACACCCACTAAAAAAGGGAGGGGGGAACTCAGATTTGAGAATCCACATATATACAAGCATTCAAGAGTCCATAGTCTAATTATATAATTGGTTTACAGTAGAAAAGTAGCCAAAGCGTTTCAGGGGCCACAAAACTCCCCCTTATCAGGGCTCAGGAATTTTGATTGTGCTTTAATGGATCTGCTGTTTTATTGGAATGGTTTAAAATGGAACAGGTTATGTCAGGATTAACAAATGCAGCAAAAAAACATGAAAGTAGCTTTTTATAAGGGATAATACAATATTATATAAAATTCTAAGAAAAATTTGCTTTCTGCCTTCCGTGGTCCTGCAACCTTCCCTCCATAGCATAAGCAGTTCACTGATTTCTCAGCAAAACATGAGTCTTACTTTAAATAGTTGGCGTACTCAAAGGGGCTTTTTAGTTGTAAATGAAGTCTGGTTCCCTGAGCCAGCACTTAGCATCTTATTATTCTTAAATACTCCAACAGAAAGACCTCCCTGTCCTAACGCCACACTTTCTGTCCACCTGGTAGTTTTGACAGGGATGCTGAGAGCCCCTCATAATTGCCACACAAGATGTGCAGAGCCAGGAACTTGGTGCAGAGATCTCATCCACAAGGTCCCTAAGTGACAGAAGAAATTGTCCCGTGCTTAACTCTCCTGCGTCTACCAAACACTTACATAGCAGTTTTTGTATAAACTGACTCTTTGGGGGTGATTTACTAACCTAAACACACGCACTCACCAGGTGTGTGTGATTTTTTACACAGCAAAGCGTATTTATCAACCAAAAAGTCTCTATAAGCATATTTCCACTAATGCCATATATGGAAAAATCATGCACATGATGCATATATAATGCTGCTTCACAGTTTAGACAAAAATGGTTAGCTCATGCATTTACATTCCTGCATTCATCAACGCAAGCAACACAATGGGGTCTATTCACAAACCTGTGAGCCAATTTACACAACATCACCTTGCAATTCAGGTTAGGGCTTTGCACAACACACCTGCTGGGTGTGTACACACTACAAAAGTGTTTAGATTCCACCCATAGATCATGCTGGGAGGGAACACACTACAGAGGTGTATACATGTTCGTGGTGTGTTTATAAGGTTAGTAAATCAACCCCTTTATATCCAATATTTTTTGCTATCTTCATTTGGTGTATTTTCACAGTTGTATTGAGTTAAATGTCTGTCTTTTTCAGCTTTTCCAGAATCTTAAGAATCTGATGAGTCCACACCAGATTGAGTTCAAGTCTCCTCTTGAACTGTCTGCACAAGGTAAGGACTATGGACCTGTTCTCAGAACATTTTGAGGTTATCCATACTTTCTATAACAACATAGCTGGAGTGACTGGCACATTAATTACGTAAGGACTATGAACCTGTTCTCAGAACATTTAGAGGTTATCAATACTTTCTATAACAACATAGCTGGAGTGACTGGCACAATAATTGCGTGTCCCAATGCAAGCCATAGCTGCACGCCTCATCTCAAAGGTTGAGGAGAGCATCTGCTCAGAGTTTTAATTTTCCACTCATATAATTAGACAGACTTGATTAAATCTCCCTTGAGTAATTGTGATCAACCACACTGTCCATGTTTGTCACCCTCTTGGCAGATTTTACTCGGCCTTGTTTGCAAGATGGGGTGTTTGGACTCATTTCAGACCTTGTCAGCATTAGCTAGTAATTGCTGACCTTCTACTAACAGTTGACGTAAAAAAATAAAAGTGCAGAAGTGCCAATCTACGTGGCTTGGGAAGTCAAGTCCCAGCTGCTCTGTAACAACAGTCTTCTCAGCCTTCAATTAATAAAGAAAAAGGGACATGCCCAAATCAACCAAATAGAGATTGTTATAATACAGTATTTGTACAGTGCTAACAGTCTGCATAGCACTTTACAAAATCAAGTGAGGCAGTACAGTTCAGTACAGAATGGTGGGAGGGCCCTGCTCATGAGAGCTTACAATCTAAAGGGAGAAATAAGGGATACAAAGGCATTAATAGATGGTGGAAACGGTTGTCTCTGGGATAGGAAGGCATAGACAGCAATAAACACATTTGTCATAAGCTGTAAGCTTTCCCATTCTACAAAAAATGTGTGTTTTTGTTTTTGTCTATGTTCCGGATGGAGAATCTCTGTTCTGACAGAAAGTGATGTGAAATCTCCCCATTAGAACTGTCAATGCAGTAAAAACCTGTCAAAGGTTCTCTGCTCTTTCCAAGACATAAATAAAAAGTTGTTAGACTTGGGGGTCTATTCACGAAGCAGCCGAAGGATCTAGCCGTAGCTTCGGCCAATCCTTCGGCTAGCTTCGGCCCCAGGACCCCTTCGGTTCAGTAGAACCGAGGGGCTGCTGTACGGGCTATTCACTATAGCCCGTACAGCACCCGAACGCGAACGAGCGGATCAGTCGAGCCGCACGCATATGCCTCGGCTTGGCTGAGTCGCACTGAAAGCCGAAGCTGGCCGAGCGGCCGGCCATATGCCGGCCGACAGCCTGCTTCTGACAGCTGGGCAGAGCCAGCCGTGATCTTACGGCTGGCTCCGGCCACTTGCCGAGAGATCAGCGTCCCTGGGTAACAGCTAACCAGGGACACTGATCTCCAAACAGCAAACTCTCCCTGGCGCTCCGGGAGTCTCCCGCTCCCGGCCGCCCAGGAGAGAAGCACTGCTTTTTTCTCTTTCTCAAGCCGTGTCAGAATAGAAAAAGAAAAAAAAAATATTGCTAGCAATATTGATAGCCAATAGCAAACCAGCATTGCACCCGCCCTCTGCTGCAGTTCTCCATCAGGTCCACAACTACTGATTGACAGCAGCAGAGGGCGGGAACAATAGCTAGTTTGCTATTGGCTATTGCAAATTGAAATAGCCAATAGGAATCTAGCAATGCATTCCTATGGCCACAAATTATTATTATTTTTTTCTATTCTGACACGGAGCCATGTCGGAATAAAGAAAAAAAACGAAAAAGCAGTGTTTCTCTCCTGGGCAGCCGGGAGCGGGAGCGCACGGGAGAGTTTTTTCTTCTTCTTTTTTTGGACGGCAGCAGAACCGCCGGACAATAGAAAACAGTTGGGCGGAACTAGCTGTCACTGCTAGCTCAGCACAATCGTTTTTTATTTATTTTGTTTTACTTTTTTAACTATTTTTCTGTTCTGCTCGGTCCCAAAGAGCGGCATTCACTCACTGCTGTTCAGCATCTATAAGAATAGACCGAACAGCAGCGAGTAGCCTGCCAGAGGTTCGGCTTAGCCGATCCAGATGTTGGATTGGCTGAGTTGAACTCCTTCTGCACTTCCCGAAGCCACCCCATGTACGGCTGATTTCAGCCGATATACGGCTGAAATCAGCCGTACCAGCCTGAAGCGAATAGCCGAACAGCGTTCGGCTCACTTCGCTTTAGGTTGGTCATTCACTTGGCTGCCTACGGCAGCTTAGTGAATAGACCCCTTGGACTTTCTTATGGGTTTCCTTAAGTAAGAATATTGCTAATTTTATGTATGGCTTTTCTACTTTCAGGAAAGCAATTGATTGAAACCTATTTTGACTTTCGATTATATCGCCTCTGGAAGACCCGCCAGCACTCCAAGTTGCTGGATTACGACGACATCTTATGAGCCCAGTCAAAGGCCATTTTAGGAGTACGTTTTTGCTGCTTCCCAGGGGGCTGTCAGTCTGCTGGGACCTCCCGCAATGGAAAGCCAGGGACCAGAGTATGGAGATGGAAAATGAGAAGGAACAGTCCGCTGGCACTTTTTGCGGTTGTTTTACCTTGAACATGAGCCGGCCAGTGGCTTGACGGGCCAGAGTCCGAAGACAGAACGTAGAGTGAAAGAGGATGACGTGTCTTCATGCTGAGCTTCATCAATTCAGGGCAAAAACATACAAAACAGAGAATCATCGGGTCCGCTATCCAAAAGGTCCTTGTAAGACTTCAGCTCAGGTTTTACTATGAAAATAATGTTAACTATTCTTGCACTAGAGAGCAAGGATCCCGACAAGCCTTCAAAAACCACAGCAAACTTTTTTTGTAGCAAACCCAGGTGACCTTTATTTCCTTAAGGCGGAGGATGACGGACAATGCCAAGAACGAACGCCACAAATACTGTACAGCTGGCGTTACACGCAGGAAGGCTGGACTAATTTAGAATTAATACATTTATGAATATAGATATATCTATATAATATATACATATATCTTATTAGGGGGTTTCTAGTGATTTCATGTGGGGTGACTTAGGATACAAGTGCAATTTTTTTGTAAACAGCAATTAGCATATTTAATTGTTATAAAAAAAATGGTGCAGAGGTTGTTTAGCTATCCTGCACAGTGTGTTTTGTGACAGAGTGGGACACTCTATACACAAGTAGTACACAATCTTTTTGTAGTCACCTAGATCACCAGCAATTGTGTGTCATATCACTGCTCTCCTAGTTCACGGCCCAACAGTAGTTCCTGTCCCACACACTGTGCTTCGTGTTACCAATCGTTTCTAGAATAGAGCTGAACAGTGTCCCCAAGCAACATCCCACGATGGACACTGTACTCTGCACACTTTCACATTCATCTAGCACTTTGCAATATATTGATATTATGATGTGAACATAGTATGCTTCAGTTGAATTATATGTACAGTACACTTAGCAGTAAACAGTATATATTTACTTATATAATTCATTTATAGGCGACTAGCCATATTGATGATATAGCCCATCTTTGAAGAGTATCAGGTTTTTCTCTTCTCCAGATGGGACCTCAGGTTTGGTATGTTTTGATGTGTAACCATGTATTCTGTAAGCCAGGGGTATGGATCTTCTGCATCCATTATGGATGTTTCTTTGCAGAGGCAAGGCCTGGTTTTATATAGTGTGTGTATTCACGCGGCCAGAACATGGGGCAACCACTGGCTGCTGTATCTATAGAATAATCATGTTGTGGGGGGGGGGAGAAATTACTTTTTCAAAGGATGTATTGCTGAGATGTTAACATTAATCGTTGTCTCAAATCTTTCTGACCGCACTTCTTTGCTTGATTTTGGGTCAGAAAGAGTCATGACATCACAGAATTCAGCTAGTACACCCATTCATTTCACTTTCATGTCATCAGCATTGCACATCGTACCATACTTATTGGATCTCACTCTGCTTCCTGATGTACTGAGTCCCAATTGGTTTATAAGGCTAGTCAACCGTATATTTTGTGGCCAGATATTGGTGATTAGTGATCTAAAGGCAGACAAAAAACTTAATTCAATGCACACTAAAAGCCAACAGGCACTTTTTGAGCTCCAAAGAACATGTGATTCAATTATTCAAAGTCACTTTGATGACATGGCTGCTTTCCAGCCCAGATTTATTTAATTTTTAATCAGGAAGGATATTATAAGGATCAGAAGACACCTCTTGATTTAAGCATTTTTAATTGTTTCTACATGTCTAATATATTCAAAGCAAATGTATGACAACTACATTTTAGACTATAGATTGCAGGGATTTCCTGTGACTTTCTTAGTGGTAATGCAATAAGAAAGTAGCAATGTGTTGCTAGACGAACTTGTAAAACTATTTGTTGCTTGATTCTTGTAGTAAAGCTTGCCTAGCAAAACAGTTGGGGGCTCATCCGGGATTGAAAAGAAAGCATTACCTAATTCTATCACAATATTATATTCTCTTGCCTCTTTTAAGGCACCCCTATACTTGGATTGCTGTATTTTTGAGTTATACATGGTTTATATTAACCTCTTAAAACTTTGTGTCCTATTGTTAAAGCGTCAAAATGGCCTTTTCTGTTTTTTTTCCTCGAGATTTTTGTTTGTTTATAATGCTTTTTAGAAACCTGTTTAAGCATTATTGTTTTTTCTTTTTTTTTTTCTCTGCTTTTAAATTTTTGTGCATTTTTTACCATTTCTATTTGGGGGCAGTGTTATTTTGGAGAAAAAAAGGCCAGTTTGTTCTCCACTGCTCCAATTGCTATTTTATTAAAAATAAAGAATGTTCTTCAAGGGAGAACTGCCAGCTTTTAGGACAACATCAGAGTTTGAATCTATGTTTCCACTAGTTTTCCACCAAATTTTACAAAAAAGTGCAGTTATTAAAGCAAACATCCTGGATTTTTTCACACTATTTTGTCGGGTTCATAAATAAGAACAAGAATAGCTGCAGAAAAGGTTGAAAACTTTGAAGATATTAAATGTCCCTTTTTGTGACATATTAATAGAATCCATATTATTTTAAAGTGGATCCTGAGTATTGAGCATGCTGATTTATTGCATTTCTGCAGTGGGGGAACCCGCAATTCTAATTTTAGCAATATGGCAATTTATTTTGTTATAATACATGACTCTATTGCTTTTAATTGAAAATGTCACAACATGCTTACCTGCCAACCTAATGCCTATAATACATTGGTGGCAACCTGTTTCATTTATTGTCATTGTGCAATAACCTCTCTGGAATTCAATTGTGGATATAAAATGCCTTTAACCAGTGTCTCCTTTCACCCAGTTCTTTGGAAGTGAAAAAAGATAAATGGGTCCAACAAGAACAGATCATTAATCACACTTGGCTAGTATAAAAAATATATAGTTTAAATATATTTTTTATTACAACATATTAAATAAAGTACATGAGTGATTTTAATTATATTTTGGAACTGTTGGCTTGATGACATTTAAATTGTGATTGCTTAAATGCCCCAATTTTTGTCTGCAAATTCAGAGCTAACCATACATAGCAATATTAGTGCAAATGTAAGAAAATTAGCTTTGATTCGATTTTGAACACTTTTATTTAGGGCAAAATTTACCTCTATTCCCAAAAGGTTATTTTTTCAAATGATATAGATGTCTCATTCGGAATACATATATTTTGGTAGGCTTATTGCATACTGAAGTAGAGGCAGATTGTAGGCTCCCCTGGGGCAGAGTCCTAGGTCAGTTTTTCTTTCTGCTTTGTAAAGTAATGCAGTCTGCATAAGTTAATTTAAGTAATATGTACTTTTTGAGAGAGGAAAATGTCAGGTTTAGTAAAATTGGACTCTATCCTTCATTTAAAAAAATAAATATTCTTTTAACAGTGAAATATGTAGTGAAAGTATAACTGCCATTTTAATAAATACATTTTTAATTACAGAAAAGTGGTATATTTATCCATTGTTCTTCTGGGTTGACTCTTAAGATGTTAGGAAATGCAATATATAATATATTGAAATACTTGCAATTCTACATATAAGGGTTCAGAAATGTATATTATGCTTAACATATACATTGTGTGTGTGTGTGTGTGTATGTGTATTAAAGCTTTTTTGGGGGGTTAAAACTTTCTTTTTTTTTTCCTAATGAGGATTATATATTTTTTGTCATATTGAGAATTCCCTTTACTTCCTGTCCCTTGGACAACAAAAAAAGTGGGTCTGGGAATTCTTTCTAAAGTGAGGGGAAATCCCCTCTTAGAAGTTATCGAAACAGGTGTCCCCATTGGACTATTTCCCCTCACTTCCTGTTGACAATTGAAATACCATTACATGAAAACAAAGCAATAAAAACATTCCAGGGGTTCTAACTAAACCTTGTTTAAAGTCATTTATTTTTGTTAGTTTGCATTACACCGGCGTTCTCATATTCCTTTTAATTCTCTTCATTTATACATTTGCAGACAGGGTCTGGGTGTGTTGCAAATGTTGTCTTGACTGAGGTGAATCTGACCGTAGGTACCCTGTGGGCAAAGATGATCATACAAATTCATTATCACTAATGAACATGGCATTTCCATAAAACAGAGCATCGCATTGCGCCACGTGAAATATATCTTTGTCCCCTGACTAATGACCTGTGTGATGTTTGAGGCATGCAGTGCTTGATGTGATTCAGCACTTGCAGGAATACTGTTCCGGGCAAGGAGGGGGGTGGAGAGGGAGCACATTCATATACTGATGGCTTCATTACTGCTGGATATTAACACATTTTTGTGATGCCATTCATTTGTTTTGATGCATTTATCCATCTGCAACATTGGCCGCAGTATCTCTTCTTGTGTTATTCTGAACATTCAAATACCCTTGTGATGTGATTATATAAGGCTCTCCGTTTAACATAAACAAGTTTTTTCTATTATTCATTGAGGGACGCAGCCTCCATCATTAGACGAATGGGTTTATATCACCACCAGCAGCAGGAGCATACTGGGTGCAACAAAAAAGCTTGCTAAAGGGGCCAAGTAATAGAAAGTATTATAAGAAACAACAAAAAACTCCAGCAAAAGGAAACAGACCCAACAAAAACGGCTATTTTTTATAAAATGTCTTTGTATCTAGAATCTACATCCTGCAGCTGTAGGGATAAAGCTGTATCTTTGGGATTTAGGTTTGCCATTACATTTTTTTAATGACATCAGTAGTTGGCTTCTTCTTCCATAATCTCTGCCAGCCCAACGATGACCTTACCGTTACATGAGTGCGCATGTGCGAGATGAGGCACATGATGATGTGTGCATACATGCGCCATACCAAATTACAATCATTTGTTTAAAAAAAGCCTTTAGCCTTGAAGTTAGGAATGGGATCTTTCTGGAAGGCACTGGTGACGTAGCCTTCCCAGGGGGCATCTGTGAGACCTTGACTGCTATTATCAGTGCCTCACTATACCAGGAAATGTAAAACTTCCTGTCCCTAGGATTTTTACTTTGGTGGGAGGTCCACTTTAAGAATTTAGAGATTCATTTTTCTAGTGTTGATCGATTATGTTACCTTAACTGGTCAAACTGCTACATTGTATCATCATGTAAGGTTAATGTATTACATTTCTGATTGCTCTTAAATGTGAAGGAAGTTTTCTGCATCAAAACATTTTTCCACTCCACCCAATTGGGTTTTAGTTTTGGTTGGATTGAATCTGTAGGTTGCAGGTTTTCATTGTCTGTAATCTACTGGGGACTTTCTGTCCTGGTCACATCGTTACCACTGAGGCAGAAAGTGAGGGAAAATCACAGATAGGAACACAAACAGCAACAAGGAACCAATGAAGGCTATACATTTTCCCCCATCCTAATAAAGAAGAGTTTTTTATTGCCTTGCTGCCA